CATCCCATTATTTACTTCATTACCTCTGAATCCATACTAAATCTCCTTCCATTCTTCAGCTACAAGAGAGAAAACACATGCCTTGCATTACGCATCAATGATACATGATATAACATAGATTTAATGATGCAAGTAATATAAAAAAATTTATTATTACCTAAAAAGAAATTTTGCTGAATTCTGAGAACATTCTTCTTTTCCCTCTGATGGGGGTTCTGTTTTCTTACCTCTTCTCTCATCCCATTATTTACTTCATTACCTCTGATTCCATACTAACTCTCCTTCCATTCTTCAGCTACAAGAGAGAAAACACATGCCTTGCATTACGCATCAATGTTACATGATATAACATAGATTTAATGATGCAAGTAATATAAATAAATTTTATATTACCTAAAAAGAAATTTTGCTGAATTCTGAGAACATTCTTCTTTTCCATTCCTTTGATGGGGGTTCTGTTATCTTACCTCTTCTCTCTTCCCATTATTTACTTCATTACCTCTGATTCCATACTAAATCTCCTTCCTTTCTTCCCCTTCAAGAGAGAAAAATAATGCCTTGCATTACGCATCAATGTTACATGATATAACATAGATTTAATGATGCAAGTAATATAAATAAATTTTATATGACCTAAAAAGAAATTTTGCTGAATTCTAAGAACATTCTTCTTTTGCATTCCTTTGATGGTGGTTCTGTTATCTTAAATCTTCTCTCATCCCATTATTTACTTCATTACCTCTGATTCCATACTAAATCTCCTTCCATTCTTCCCCTTCAAGAGAGAAAAATAATGCCTTGCATTACGCATCAATGTTAAATGATATAACATAGATTAAACAATCCAAGTAATATAAATAAATTTTATATTACCTAAAAAGAAATTTTGCTGAATTCTGAGAATCTTCCTCTTTTCCATTCCTTTGATGGTGGTTCTCTTATCTTACCTCTTCTCTCATCCCTTTATTTACTTCATTACCTCTGATTCCATACTAAATTTCCTTCCATTCTTCACCTACAGGAGAGAAAACACAAGCCTTGCATTATATATCAATGTTAAATGATATAACATAGATTTAATGATGCAAGTAATACAAATGAATTTTATATTACCTAAAAAGAAATTTTGCTAAATTCTGAGAATATTCTTCTTTTCCATTCCTTTGATGGTAGATCTGTTATCTTACATTTTCTCTCATCCCATTATTTACTTCATTACCTCTGATTCCATACGAAATCTCCTTGCATTCTTCCCCTACAAGAGAGAAAACACATGCCTTGCATTACGCATCAATGTTAAGTGATATAACATAGATTTAATGATGCAAGTAATATAAATAAATTTTATATTACCTAAAAAGAAATTTTGCTGAATTCTGAGAACATTCTTCCTTTCCATTCCCTTGATGGTAGTTCTGTTATCTTACCTCTTCTCTCATCCCATTATTTACTTCATTACCTCTAATTCCATACTAAATGTCCTTACATTCTTCACCTACAGGAGAGAAAACACATGCCTTGCATTACGCATCAATGTTAAATGATATAACATAGATTTAATGATGCAAGTAATATAAATAAATTTTATATTACCTAAAAAGAAATTTTGCTGAATTCTGAGAATATTCTTCTTTTCCATTCCTTCATAGTGGTTCTGTTATCTTACCTCTTCTTTCATCCCATTATTTACTTCATTACCTCTGATTCCATACTAAATCTCCTTGCATTCTTCCCCTTCAAGAGAGAAAAATAATGCCTTGTATTATGCATCAATGTTAAATGATATAACATAGATTTAATGATGCAAGTAATATAAATAAATTTTATATTACCTAAAAAGAAATTTTGCTGATTTCTGAGAACATTCTTCTTTTCCATTCCTTTGATGGTGGCTCTGTTATCTCACCTCTTCTCTCATCCCATTATTTACTTCATTACCTCTGATTCCATACTAAATTTCGTTCCATTCTTCACTTACAAGAGAGAAAACACATGCCTTGCATTACGCATCAATATTAAATGATATAACATAGATTTAAAAATGCATGTAATATAAGTAAATTTTATATTACCTAAAAAGAAATTTTGCTGAATTCTGAGAACATTCTTCTTTTCCATTCCTTTGATGGTAGATCTGTTATCTTACATTTTCTCTCATCCCATTATTTACTTCATTACCTCTGATTCCATACTAAATCTCCTTACATTCTTCACCTACAGGAGAGAAAACACATGCCTTGCATTACGCATCAATGTTGAATGATATAACATAGATTTAATAATGCAAGTAATATAAGTAAATTTTATATTACCTAAAAAAAAATTTGCTGCATTCTGAGAACATTCTTCTTTTCCATTTCTTTGATGGTGGTTCTGTTATCTTACCTCTTCTCTCATCCCATTATTTACTTCATTACCTCTGATTCCATACTAAATCTCCTAAAATTCTTCACCTACAGGAGAGAAAACACATGCCTTGCATTACGCATCAATGTTGAATGATATAACATAGATTTAATGATGCAAGTAATATAAGTAAATTTTATATTACCTAAAAAAAAATTTGCTGCATTCTGAGAACATTCTTCTTTTCCATTTCTTTGATGGTGGTTCTGTTATCTTACCTCTTCTCTCATCCCATTATTTACTTCATTACCTCTGATTCCATACTAAATCTCCTAAAATTCTTCACCTACAGGAGAGAAAACACATGCCTTGCATTACGCATCAATGTTGAATGATATAACATAGATTTAATGATGCAAGTAATATAAATAAATTTTATATTACCTAAAAAGAAATTTTGCTGAATTCTGAGAACATTCTTCTTTTCCATTCCTTTGATGGTGGTTCTGTTATCTTACCTCTTCTCTCATCCCATTATTTACTTCATTACCTCTGATTCCATACTAAATCTCCTTCCATTCTTCACCTACAGGAGAGAAAACACATGCCTTGCATTACACATCAATGTTAAATGATATAACATAGATTTAATGATGCAAGTAATATAAATAAATTTTATATTACCTAAAAAGAAATTTTGCTGAATTCTGAGAACATTCTTCTTTTCCATTCCTTTGATGGTGGTTCTGTTATCTTACCTCTTCTCTCATCCCATTATTTACTTCATTACCTCTGATTCCATACTAAATCTCCTTCCATTCTTCACCTACAGGAGAGAAAACACATGCCTTGCATTACACATCAATGTTAAATGATATAACAGAGATTTAATGATGCAAGTAATATAAATAAATTTTATATTACCTAAAAAGAAATTTTGCTGAATTCTGAGAACATTCTTCTTTTCCATTCCTTTGATGGTGGTTCTGTTATCTTACCTCTTCTCTCATCCCGTTATTTACTTCGATACCTCTGATTCCCTTCTAAATCTAATTTTATTCTTCACCTACAAGAGAGAAAACACATGCCTTGCATTACACATCAATGTTAAATGATATAACATAGATTTAATGATGCAAGTACTATAAATAAATTTTATATTACCTGAAAAGAAGTTTTGCTGAATTCTGAGATCATTCTTCTTTTCCATTCCTTTGATGGTGGTTCTGTTTTCTTACCTCTTCTCTCATCCCGTTACTTACTTCGATACCTCTGATTCCATTCTAAATCTAATTTTATTCTTCACCTACAAGAGAGAAAACACATGCCTTGCATTACACATCAATGTTAAATGATATAACATAGATTTAATGATGCAAGTAATATAAATAAATTTTATATTACCTTAAAGGAAATTTTGCTGAATTCTGAGAACATTCTCCTTTTCCATTCCCTTGATGGTGGTTCCGTTATCTTACATCTTCTTTCATTCCATTATTTCCTTCTTGACCTCTGATTCCATACTAAATCTTCTTCCATTTTTAATAAAATTTGTATAAAAATATAACATACATTAAGTTTATATTATCTAGAAAAAATATTGCTCCAATCTCAAAAGCATTTTGACTTAGCTTTTGCAACTTCGTATCCAGCAATCAGCTTCTTTAATTTCGTCAGTTAGTTTATAAAAACTTTTAATTATCATAAAAACACAACCTTCTGTCAAGAATTCCAAACACAAAATGAATTCCATAAAGATTTTTACTTACTGTAAAATTATTCTGAAACAATGAGTTTTTTTATTGCTAATAATTGTTATGCTTGTCTCTAATTGTTTCACTGCATCTATTAGCTTTTTTGAAACAATAGTGGACACATAAAAGTGAATATTAAAATTTAACTTAATAGTTATTGTTGGAGGGCGAATTTATTTAACTTTTTGAAAAACGGGAAATAAAATTAAACATGATTTCCATAGATTTGCTATTTACCGCTACTCAATTAGTATTTTATCAGAAATTTCTACTAAATATATTTTTTTAGAATCTTAATAAACATATACATAAATTATTGTTTCCGAAATATAGATAAGAATTTGCAAAAGTTGAAACAAGGAAATCGTTTTTTTATCCCCTAAATATTAGGTTGAATTAATCCTTGGTCTTACTTTACTTTAAATAAGGGTTCTAATATAAATGTTAAAGATTCGATCTTGAAATATATATTTGTATTTTGTACTTGATCATTGTACCTTAGAGCATTACATACTTAGTTAAATTTATTCTTCAGTTCTGTATGAATTTTTTAAAGAATAATCTAAAGATAACTATAGTTTTGAAAACGAGCATTTTCGGTTAACCATTACTGAAAATATTGCCAAATAAATGGTTCAAATACCGCATAATTCTTTTTAGTTCCTGAATCATGTTTTTTTAAAGATAAACATTATCATAGACTACGGAAATTTTTCCAGAATTTTTTTCTCCGTGTGGTTAACAGTAAAATATTTTTCCGAGTAAAGAAAATAAATTTTGACACTCTTTTTGAGTTGAAGATCTAAAAATACACTAATATTTTAATAATATATAATTCATTTAAGATTTCCAAAAGTCTTTATAATATTTTCCTTTCAACTCATCTCAGTTTCCTCCAGTAATCAAACAAGTTTGCATTGCATGTATAGTTAGGTTATTAGACTTCGATTGCATTTCATGGAACATCTTGTACATTTTAATCTCTTGGAAACTAATAAGAAGTAGAAACTTACTAGTTTAGCAAGTTTAGTTCCCATTGCATAAATTGTAAATCTATTTTATTCATAACACTGGGGAGTTTGTATCTCATTTTTATCATTATTGTTTGTGTTGAGCTCATATTTAGTTCTTCAAGTATAACAAAACAAATATGTAATCCTTAAAAAGCATTTTTTTTTTCATTTTGAACATAAAGAAAATTTTTATCTTTCTTAAATGGCTGCAAATGACCATAAAAATTTTTATAAGTTCGTATTGTTTTCTTTTTTATTTTATTTATTTATTTATTTATTTATAGTTTCAACACTTCAGACAGAAAATTTAAAACAAAAGGAAGTAAAATGAGGCAGTATATTTTTCATTTTATTTTATATCTGTCATTTAGCAGCCGACCGTATTTTTAGTTTATGACTACCAATGTTCAAATCCGTATCCTTGTAATTTTGAACCCAATCCAGAAGACAAGGGAGCTCCTGAATCAAGTATTGGGAGAAATTAATTTTGAGGCAGTATATTTCATTTTACATTTTAAAACTGTCGTTGTGAACAGCCGACCCAATTTTCAGGTTTACGACTGCTAATGTTCAACTCCGTAACCTTATAATTTTGATCCTAATCCAGAAGACAAGGAAACTCTTAGTCATGCTATTAGAGAAGCATTTAGAGAAATTTCGCTATCGTGGAGGACTTTATTATGGAACTAACCCGCATTGGCGTCACATTGAGAGGAAGACCACGAGAACCTCCCACGGTTAGCCTGACTGCAAAGGGATTCTAACCCATGATCCATCTGACACTGACGATAATTCACGTCAGCACTGTGGTTTTTGCAAGCCGGATGCGGACTTCGTATCAATCAGTTATCGCATGAATTCGAATTAATCTGAAATTCTTGAATTCTAATACTTGAATCTAAAATCCTTGAAGTTAAACAAAACAAGTATGCAATTTTTTAATAGCAAAATTTTCTTCTATTTGAAAAGAAAATTTTATATTTCTTAGATGGCTACAAACATCCAAAGAAAATCTTATTAGTTTGTATTGTTCTATTTTATTCCTATTTTGACGACTGGAGATTGAAAGATTTTTGAAAAAAAAATGGAAGTAAAATGAGACAGTTTCATGAAAAATGTGATGTGATTTTTTTTAATTGCTTGAAGAACACTAAATGTAGTTTTTATAAGATACGGTTTTTCAATGATTTCGGCCAACTTCTGTTTTATGATATCAATTGATAAGAGATATCATTGATTTATTTTGTGCTAGTATTGAATCATTTTGTAAAGATAATCTCAATTCAAACGTCTTAACTGGAGAATGAACTTTTGTGAAATCTTCATCTGAAACAAATCCAATGGTTACATAGCTTCGAAAGTTGCAGCCAAATGTTAATATTAGCTCGTTTTTATTAGGTTGATTACATATTAAATAAATTATAATAAATGTAAGCATTAATATAAAGTATTAACGCAAAATAAAGTGGTAAAAAAGTATATCTTGTGCTGTATAGAGACAATTCTCGTTGTAAGTACAAAACGGGTGAATTAGATTGTAAAAAAAATGGCTCTGAAATAACTGGAGAAATAAGAAAAGAAAAATATTTAAATTTGAAAAACAGTAAATTGATACGAAAGAAATATTCATCCTTAGTTAGAAAATAGTGAAATATCAATTAAAAAATATATAATGTATGTTAGGGATCATAAAATCAATAATCTACTGCAACTGCTGGCACTAATGCAGACTGGAACTAAATTTATAAACTAAAAACTAAGAATTGTTCAACCTAGATTAGAAAATAGTTAAATGGCAATTGAAAAATATAATGTATGTTAGGGATCATAAAATCAATAATCTGCTACAACTGCTGGCACTAATGCAGACTGGTACTAAATTTATAAACTGAAAACTAAGGATTGTTCAACCTAGGTTAGAAAATATTGAAATGTCATTTAAAAAATAATGTATGTTAGGGATCATAAAATCAATAATCTGCTACAACTTCTGGCACTAATGCAGACTGGTACTAAATTTATAAACTGAAAACTAAGAATTGTTCAACCTAGGTTAGAAAATATTGAAATGTCATTTAAAAAATAATGTATGTTAAGGATCATAAAATCAACAATCTACTACAATTGCTGGCACTAATGCAGACTGGTACTAAATGTATAAACTGAAAACTGAGTATTATTCAACCTAGGTTAGAAAATAGTTAAATTGCAATTGAAAGATAATGTTTGTTAGGGGATCATAAAATCACTAGCTACTGGGAACTAATGAAAAGAATCCTTTGAGAAAAATTAGTGAAATTAGTGAACAATTTTATCAATCTTCTACATATTATGTTTGTCTCAAGAAATTGATTCCGGCCATTGACCGATCACAATTTTAGAATTTAATATCGGGAAATCACATATTAAATTGCAAATGTTACATTTGAAGCAGTGCGTCTTAAATATGCTCATTTACTCATTCAGGAAATATAATTATAATTATCTCTCTACATGTAATTGTTCGAAAAAGACTGGCAATTTTATTTTTTGACTCTCAAAATAAGTGTTTACTGCCATCCTTAAAATGTGAATTTGACTAAAATATGACTTTGATAAAAATATTTTAGAGCAATACTTTTGCCTCCCATTAAATTTTTACCCGTTCTTTACTCCCTGTTGGAGAATTTTATTAAAAACAATTAAGAATTATAAAAACGGAAATAAAATTAGGTCACCTTAAGCAGAAATCATAAAATGCTTGCAAATTAAATTTTAATGTTTGTAAATTAAACAAAATGGGAAAAAATCATTATATTTCTTTATGATTGCTACTTCGCAAGTTTAGGTTATTTTTATGCTTTAGCATATATTAATTATAATTATTAAACTCTATTGTATTCTAGAAAACACCAAACAAGCGCTTAAGCAGTTTAATTTTTAAATTAGTTACATGCATTGGTAAAGAAAGAATATAATTTATTTTTGAATATCATTAAGCCGTTAGCTGATTTTAATTTTTTTTTATATTTTAAGAAATAAATATTTAATGAAACATTTTGGCTTACAATTTTAAGTCACTTTTCTTCATCTTTGCTTAACAACTTCCTTTATTTCATCAGTCTTTAACAAATTTTACTCAACTTCCAAAAAATAACCTTCACACACAAAATTTAAAAGAAAAATGAGCTCAATAATGGTTTTAACTTTTTTTAAAATAACTTTGCAACAATGAATACTTTTATTGTTAATAATATTTGCTACTTTTGACTGTAATTGTTTAACTACATCTTTTT